TCCCTGAGCACTGTTAAACCCTTGCTTACCTCAGGAAGATGATCGAAACAGATCTAATTTTGAAAGATGTATAGTACAATGGGGTTCATTTAACTTACATAGTAACATAGCTGAAAAGAGACGAGTCCATCAAGTTCAGCCTTTCTCGCATTTGTTTAAATGATGGACTTCAAATTGAACAGCACCTACTCACGATATAACTGTAAAGCAATCTTTGATATTTAAAATGTCTTGTCCTGTAAATTTAGAAATGAATTTTGGTGTGTACATTTTAAAAGTACATAATTTTAATTTTCATGACAGCTGACCAGTAAAAAAAAAAGGAATTTTATAACAATGACCCTCTCATTTTCTTACACGATCTCTAAGGGAAAAAAAATAGAAGCAATTGTATGTATATTGATAATACCAAAATCAGGACAAATAATTTTATTTACTTTAGGAAATTTGTCATTAGTTTTTACAGTTGTGTTAAAATTATTATAGACAAAAGAAGTAAAAATGACTTCTTAAAAAATTACTTGTTATTTCAGTTTTTTATTTCTGTTTTACTTCTTAAAAAATTACTTATTTCTCCTTGTATTTTTTCTTTAAATTTAGTATAGGCACATGGTACAGTCTGCTAACGCATTGCAATTCAGCAGATCTGTGAGGCAATATTAATTCATTCACACTCCATACTTTACTATATCAAAGGGAGTTTGATTTATTGAGTGTGGATAAGGGATTTCCTCTGTTTTTCTATACATGTGTAAGAAATTCTACCTGGAGAATATATTTAATTGGCCAAGGAAAATCTTAACTGTAGTTGCTATAGTAATATTCTAAAAAGTCTACCATAAATCAAATCTCAATAGATTTCATATTTCAAAGCTGCTACTCTAATATGGGTAATGGGCATATTCTACCAACTTCAGAGTTGATTAATCTTGAGTGTACAAAAATTACTTACTGCATTATTTTGATTAACTGCCCAACTAATGTATTAAAAAGGCTAAAAAAAAATAGATGTCAATATATTTCATATTTCAAAGCTGCTGTTTTAATGTGTTGAAATTATTATGGGGAAAAGTGAGAAAAAATGATTATTTTTCTTATATGTTTTTCATATTAACGGATGAGGTTCGTATAGATGTTCAGAATCCAAACAAAACCCAATCTATCCTCCTAAAAAATCCATAGGTTTCTTTTGGCAATTGTACAGAGTTTATAGGAGTATGACTTAGATATAGTGAATGGCATGCTCAAATTTGAAAATGGTTACAGGGCCTTTCAAATTATCCTTTTATTGCTAACACTCGGAACACAATAATAGCAAGTACCAAAACAAATGCAATGATCGCACACACCCTTATCTGTACCTATTATTTCACCTGTTCCATTCCACCTAAATTGGATTACAGAGGGTAGAATCCTCAGTATCTACTATATTGGTTTAATTCAGTCTATAAAATTAAATGATGTTATCCTTTTTATTCAGAGTATAAAGCACTGTAGAAATAGTTGTTTCTATGTAAGCAGATGTGAATAATATTACAAGATTATTTTTGATGTATCATATATATTGAAGCTTTACACACATAATATGTGACGCTAAGTTTATTTAACACAATATACATAAGGATATTATATACAGTAACAATCATGTGTCTCGCAGGACTCGAGAAAGCTTTTTATCTGAGAAGCGTTGTACCATAATCCTTACAAGAGATATGATCTTCCAAAGTATCAGAGAAGCAGGCCACATCTACAGCCACATCTGGTCAAGTACAGAGTCAATAGTAGAGGTAGGAAAGAAATGTTTACTAGAGATAAGAAATTGGTATAAAGAGTTGATAGTCTACTTTAGGAACCGAATTAAAGATGATCGATGATCGATCCCTCTAGGATATCACTACAAAAACTAGTTGCAACATACCATCTCAAACAAGGACATCTCTTCCCTTATATGGGAATCAAACATGTTTAATACCAAGTCTTCCTGTGTCAGTGGGAGGAAGTAAGTGCATGTTTCTCCAATGTTAGACTGTATATCATTCCAAAACTAGTTCAGGAGTGGGCACTGAGTGATAGAGCCCGGAGATAAATAGCAGAGTCAGCTAAGTGGGCTTTCAGATGAGTCTATGCGTGCTACGCATTGCGGCACTAAGTACCAATACATGAACAACTTTCTTGTAGTTTTCCCAGTGTCCCAGGCACTTAGAGATTTGTTATGTTTCCAGGAATCATCTGAAAAAGTTTTCTTTAACTCTTTTTTTTCATTGCAACAGGCAATTGTGCTTTACTACCTGTTGCCAAGCAGAATAACATGTAGCTAATGGTATGGCTTTACAGTTTTGTGTTAATAGTAATTTGTCAAAACTATTGTAATCAATAGGATTAACCCAATTACATTTATGATTGAGTAAGATATTTTTAACCCATAGGTAAGTTAAAAGGTCCCTTGGAGACCGCTTATATAGTGATTCCAATAAACCCATTGTTATAGGCATATCTGGCGAGACCATCTGTAAAATAGAGATAGATGCCAAGTATAAAACCTCTACCATCTAACTAATAATTCCCCTGCCCAGCACCCCTCATGCTTGGTACACGTGGGAATGTGTGATGCATGCAGCAATGGGATTGTTTGGGCAAGTGTAGTATATAATACATTTTCATAACAGGGATTCCAAAGCTCCCCAAGGTTCTGGGCAACCAAAATATTTTGTGGGACACTCAGGGAGGATGCCTCCTCCAGATACAGATCTTCACCAAAGATTGATAATGTTTTATAATGTATGTTGGCATAGCAAAAGGTATTGTACGAAAAAAGAAAAAGATAGTTGGTAGAATGGACATCTTAAAAGGTGTTAATTCATCCCAACCAGGAGAATTTTAATGGCAATAGTTGAATGTAATTTATTAAAAAGCTGATGATGATTGACCAGACATTGCATATATGGTTTTCATTAACTGAATGCTGAGATAAGTAAAACAATGTGGCTTTCCAATCAGAGTCATAGTCTGATTTTAGTTTTCCCAGCTGGACTTTTGGGATGCAAACAGTCCTTGAGTTTTACTGAGGTTATTTTTGTAAAATTATATTGTACCATATTCCCCCAGGAGAGACAGTAGAGGGGGGGAGAGAGCAGATCCTGGATTCATGAAAGTTAAGATAATATCATCAGCAAAGTAAATTTGTTCGTCGTTGAAGCGGTGATGCCAGTTATTTGGTCTGCCTTCTTAATTTTATAAATCAATTATTCTAAAGCTAGTTTAAAACTGTAGGAGGATAGGGGACACCCCGTCTTATTACATAGATGGAATGCTTAGAAAGACAGAATTAGAGATTGCAGAAGGGGTTGAATGGTGGACCCCAATCGCTTTCAGGAATGAATTCAGGAATGCAAATCTCTTTGCATACATATACAAGCAATTCAATCTATAAAACACTTTTTTTAGTTCTACATCCAACATATATTAAGCTATATTTGAAGTTGTAAAGCCCATCCTGACCATACTGACATTGTAGCAATCCACTTGTAAATAACATATGAAATATAGATTAGATACCCTGCCATAAGGGCAGCAGAGCTATTTAACATTGTTAAATAGCAATTATTACTAGTTAAATATTGACTTCCACATCTCTCTATCTGATATCTACAATTATGTACTCAGGATTAATTACTTATTGTATTTATTTACAGTATATTGTTTTTCTAATTGTAAATAGATGTACTTCTAGACAAAATATGGTATATTAAATTGTCAGTACCGGTCTAGGCCAACCATTTTAAGCTATATTGTAATTCAATATAAAAGGTAGCATTCTAACTACAGTATGAAAGAAATGAAAAACAAAACCTTACAGAAGCACAAACTAGGGTTAATGGGACACACGATCATCCTCTGTGTTCACCAGAAACAGTGACTAGCTTATCGGAAAAGCGTTACCTTGTTGACAGGACCCACAGGCTTGGCTAATCGTGACTCTCTGTAGTAGAGTAGACAGATCAGGGGACGTCTGGGGGATGGTGATGGTTCTTGGCCTAAAACTTGCATTGTATGTTGTAGAGGATGGTAACCACTGCGCCGTTATCTTCCTAGGGGGTGACCCCGATGGAGACGGCAGTGGATTGGGTACCATTTGTGTATGATCTTTTGGCCCTCTGCTGCTGTAGGTATGGAATGCAGCACCTATTCTGCCATATTAACAATATTAATTCTGTCAATGTGAAACTTCTCCAGTGCCAACGTTGCTAGTAGTGACCGACACATATCCGTCACATATATAGGCAGCTCTTAGTGGTGATAAAATTGGGAACACCACTGATTGTCAACTTATTCCGGCGACAATAATTATTATAAGCATTTTGATTTGTTGTGTATAATGAGATCAACAATATAGGAAGGGCAGCATGGGAGATAGCAACCAAGTGACATGGTGGGAAAGTATAATTGGAAGTTGACAATGGAGTGTGGACCCTCTAAGGGAGAGCAAGCGATGGGTTTGAGAAATAGCAGTTACCCTTGGAAGCCTTAGACAATTCTGAAGGGATGGGTTTTGACGGACTTCTTAAATGATTGAAGACTATGGTAGAGTCTGATAAAAGTAGGCAGGCTGTTCCAAAGGAGTGGAGCTGCCTCCACGAAGTCCTGAAAACACAAGGTAGCAGTATAGACAAGAGCAGTAGACAGGAGTAGGTCACCAGCAGAGTGTAGCTACCAAAAAGGGGCAGACCTGTCCATCAGAATCCTCCTTAATCTATTATTCCTGTAGCAATTTGTCCCATATATTGTTAAATGTCCCCTTTTATAATATTGTAAAGTGTTGCAGAGTAAGTTGACGCTACATCAACACCAATAATAATATTAATAATAAGAGAACTCAAAGTTTCTATTCAAATATTTATTAACAAACTATAATAAATATCTTAAAATACAAAATGTAATATAAAAAAAATATATATATAACAATAGTTTTAATACATAATATTAAAATAAAACAATACAAATCTAATATAAAATATTTTACAATGGCTAATTATGTACAGACAAATAAATATTGTGTGCGGGGGTATGTATGTATACATCAGTAGTTAAAATGAATTGGGATGCAATATTCCCAACAGTGTTGGATAAGAGGCAGGCATCTTGGATTTCTGTTGGCTACTCGAACATTTGGATTGTACCCTTGCTAATAGTTAAAAAGTCTCTTAATCAATGGTAGGTATCCCAGTAAAGAAGCTTTCTCTGGTGTGGATTAAAACACACAGATTGGCAATTGTAGAGTGAGGATGATATTTGAACCTTAACAATGTATTTCTTAATTTGAAGACTGGAGTTTTTAATATGGAGCCATTACCCTGAATTTATCCTTGGTTTCCGGTTTGTGCTTCCTGTATAATATATTTTCTTCAATGTAGAGTGCTATATACATCACATTTGTCCAGTTAAAGCAAAGCTAGGATAGTATTTAAATACATTCTGAGGTATCTATCAGTGCACATTTTTGTGCTTGATCACACATTGATGAAGGTTGCTATGTGTCCATTTTGTAAACAGAAAGTCTTGAAATATCCACTGTTTCATGATTTCCATTCCATGTTCTGACTTTATTTTACCATTAGATTGTTTTTTTTCTTTTATCCCTCCATTTTATTAGTCTGTTATCCAACAGTCTCTTGATCCCTCGAAAAGTTGTATTTTCTGTTAGGATTTCTACTGAAATTAGAAATTGGAACATTGTGGATTCACCTTCATTTCGTGCTGTTTCTCACTGAGTGCAACATTATCGTTCCAGAAACTGCAGGTTGATTTCTTTTTCTGGTACTAGGAGTGTCCTTGTCATGGGTTTTACTGTACTTCCTGGATATTCGGGTCTCACCTCAAAGTGAGTGAGAATCTGCATTAAAAAGGAGTAAATAGATTGAGTTATTCTGACCATTATAGCATTGTTATTTCTCTAAACTTGGTGTTTTGTGTACTGGTGAAATATGTGTTTCTAACTCGTATAACCTCAACAAGAACCCATATGCATTCATTGTGGTCTTTCTTTAAAAACTAGAGTTATTTGGGTTCACTCACCCGTGCTAGAGCCAGATACACCTCCAATTCAGCTATTCGCCTTCCAATACAGCTTCTTTTACCAAAACCAAATGGGATAGAGGCATATGGATGATGGGATTCCTCTTTTTTCAGCCAGCGTTCAGGATGGAACTCATTGGGATCTTTGAAGACTTTTTCATCTCTGGATGTGGCGTAGTGACACAGAGTGATGAGAGTCTACAAGATAAAACAATATTAGCTTAGTTATGGTCTTCAGCCACCAATAAAACAAGTATGTAAAAGTAGAAAAAGTGGAGGAATAGACATAAAACAATATATTTCTTTAATTTTAGATTAACCATATCTTAGATAATGTTAAAATGGCTGCATCAGCGTAATATGGCGCAACTTTTGCTGGACACTGTAGTATTATACACTATTGCTCTCAGTGACACACAAACTTCTCATCTGCAAATGCAACTTTCCCAAATTTACAGGGATATTAACTAAAGTTTCAAATTAAAAGTCAAAATAGCCGATATGGATCATTTCTCTGTTAGCTATCTTGTCAGTTTGGCTACTATGGCTTTAAATTCCAAATTCAATTTGAATTATCGCTTTAGTAAATAACCCTGTTTGAGTCAAATGCAAACTTCAATTTACAGTGTTGATTTTCTACCATTTTACAATTTTTAGGGGAAGAATAAAACGATTCACTTCACACTGGACATATCCCAATCATATCTTGGCATTGTACTTAAGTATAACAGAAAAGTTGAGTATGAAAAAAACCTCAACTAAAATAATTAAGTTAATATAAGTGCTAGAAAATGGGATTCAACTAATTAAAGTGGACTCACCTTCTTTGGGATGGTATATTCTCCCACTTGTATATCTCTGTCTGCCACAACACGAGCATTACCAGGGATAACAGGGTACAGTCTGCAAATACAACGTAATTCATTGAGATCTGTATGGCAGTATACACAACTGATGTTAATTTATTCAAACTCGTACTTGATAATATCAAAGGCAGATTGAATTAATGAGCATGGTAAATGGGGTCCCTCTATTTTTTTTTTAAACATGTGTAAGAAATTCTACATAGAGAATATTTTTAGGTAGGAAAGACCCATTTTAACTGTCATTGCTAAAGTAACGTTTTAAAAAGCCTAACCAAAAACAAAATCAAATCTCAATATATTTTATATTTTAAAGCTGCTACTTTCATCTGCAAAACAGGCATTTTCTGCAAACTTCAGAGTTGATTAATCTTGAGGGAACAAAAATCACTTGCTGCATTATGATGACTAAATGTCCACACAGAGTATTAATGTAGTTCTTACCTTAGCACTTCTTTGACGACAGCTTTCATTAAAGGCATTCTGGCAACTTCTGAGGCTGAAGGAATGGGTTGACCTTGAGATACCTCCTTGATCTCGGAGTGCAGAGCGGCCTGTATGTCTGGATGCCGAGCTAGCTCATAGAGACTCCAGGAGAGGGTGCTTGAAATCTGCCATTAAAATTCAGGGAGATTATTAAGAAATAAAGACATTTAGAGCTTTCATGCTGTTTTAACCCTTTGAGTGTTATGGGTAGACCTATCATAGGTACTCAAAATGTTAAGGTACACTCTGCATAGTATCTTATTCCTTTTACTAGTAACTATTAGTAGTTACTATGGGAGGCCTATCCCTACAACGTCAAAGGTCAAAAAAGACCTGAAAGTCAAAAATATCAGTTCCCAAAGATGTGTTCTATAATATATAATATTGTTTTATTAGCACATTATTAATGATAATATTATTATCAATAATATTATCTGTATTATATATCTAGTAATAGTATAAAATACTTATGTCAGCATAAAATAAATAACAATTTACTCACGGTGTCTACCCCCGCTAGTAGCAGCTCGGTGACATTGCCATACACGGACTTCATGGGAATCTTCTCCTGAGCCAAATAGTAAGTCAGGTACTTTCCTTCCACTTTTTCACCTTGTGCCACTTTTGATGCCACCTCAGCCATTCTATGGTCAATGTGTCCCTTGGCTGTAAAGCAGACAGCATAAAAAGTCATTGCAAACGTTGAGTAAAAATAAAACTGAACATAAAATCTACGTTTGCTTTTTTGGTATTCAAAAATGAAATATGTTTAAACGATGTAATTGTGTCTATTTAAATGTATTAAATGCTGAAAAGTGACATAACATGCATGTGATGCTACAGATCAAACATTTCTAAATTACACATGTGAAATTATTGATGTATTATATTTGTTTATGTATGTCTTTGTAGAAACATAATCTCGAATTTCTTGGTATTTATTAAGGAAATAAGAGCAACGATAGGCAGCTTAAATGGGCCCATTCTTTTTTTTTTAATTTATAAAATGGTCATTTACACTTATAAAGTCCACAAGCAATTTCCTACATTATAGGTCTGGAAGAAATAGTAAGCAAAGCACCAGGACCTTGGCCAAAGTCACCAAAAAGTAGGATATTGGAATAAGATAACCAGACTTAGAGGAATGGATGGAAAAACATAGAATGTGACGGCAGATAAGAACCATTCGGCCCATCTAGTCTGCCCAATTTTCTAAATACTTTCATTAGTTCCTAGTCTTATCTTATAGTTAGGATAGCCTTATGCCTATCCCACGCATGCTTAAACTCCTTTACTGTGTTAACCTCTACCACTTCAGCTGGAAGGCTATTCCATGCATCCACTACCCTCTCAGTAATACTTCCGGATATTATTTTTAAACCTTTGTTCCTCTAATTTAAGACTATGTCCTCTTGTTGTGGTAGTATTTCTTCTATTAAATATAGTCTCCTCCTTTACTAATAACTCATTATGTTAAACTTGCTTGATAGCAATGCAATGCAACATGTGTCAAAGTAGACCTGTACATATGAGTATGCTGCACAAGAAAGTAAAAGTCAACATATTATCATTTAAATGACTGAACTGCTTAAATCTCTATGCCATATGCAAACCTTTTCGGAAATGCAACACGGCGTTTGAAGTTAAATATATACCATAATTGGTCTTATCGATGTTTGCTCACAGAACTACCTTGTTCCACTTTCACTGTTTGCATTTTGAAGGTCATAAGCCACAGAGTCATGGTTTTAGAATAATCTAAGCCAGCTGATGAAAACTCAGCTGTGTCCTTCGCAGGATCAATCAGAGGAAATCATGTGTAGACTTTGGAGTGTTTTGTTTGCTCAGATGATATACAGAATACACACAATACAGAGGTCAACGCTACTTTGACAAGCTGAAGATGATGCAAATGTCTAACTTGTGACATTATTATTATTATTAGGATGAAATAAGATTGTTTTATTATTATATGTTACCTGTGTATATTATAAAATACAATTATGTATTATATTAAAATAAAGATCCTTACCAAACGCAAACATGTAGTCCCAAGATTGGCAGAACTTTTGCCAAGGCTTGCGGAAGATTCTGTGCAGAAATTTAGGCATGGCCATGGTTAAAAGTGTCATCACAAACATAGTGTTGATGGACTTTATAAACCTCTCTGTCTCTTTTGGGACAATGGTTTCTAAGCAGCCAATCCGTGACTCAAACAAGATGGATGATATACCTGAAAAAAGATAGAAAATATTGCTTAAGATTAAATGGCACGGATGAACTTACTCCTTGCCATATTTAATTGGATAAAATAATATTTAAATTAAGGAAGGATTATCTTAATCCCAAATATCCACATTACTCTTGCTGTCTGAAAATGTTCAGATATATTCTTGTGATGTTTACTAAAATTATACTTTGAAATAACAGCAACGTGAATTTAAGATCTGATCATTTCAAATAACGTAGTTTCAAAATTGTCCCGAAAAAAACTGTATCCTAAAATCCCTGCAGATTACACAATACATTTTATGGCATTCACGTGTTACACTATTAAACAAATTAATCTAATATTGCAAATTGGCTTTACCATATTAATTCAATTCAATTACAGAAATACTAGAAGTAAGTACCTCAAATAAATGGATAATAACATTAAAACCTACCTTCTAACCCAAACATATAGAACAAATTGGAGATATCCTTTACAGTGTGGGTTGGACTCTGGTTACGTTGATGGTTGATCTTCTTGATGAGGTCACCTACGACATCATTCAAGACACCGCTGTAAGCTTCCACTTCTTTAGGTTTTAACATGTGTTTTCCCAAAATACTACGTAGCTGCTGCCACTCCTCTCCTTCACTGTAATGGTTAAAAGAAAAAGAACATTATTCACTGAGAATCCAAAATGCTTACCATCAAATCCATTTAAAGCCACTTAAAATGTAACACGCACCACATATTGTGTTATCACAAAGAGTGTGCTGCAAGACATCAACAATGTATAAATGTGAAATAAAGGAATTGCCAGAAGACTCGACGAGGAACATGTGTATTTTATAGATGCTATCAAAACACCAATGGAGTGGAAGAGCCTCAGTCATTTAATGAGATTTGTTATGATACCTACGCTGTAAGGAGACCATATGAATGTCCTCTGCACTGTCGGTAATCCTTCCAGGAAGAGAGATCTGAACGTATTGGATGCTTTCCTTCTTGTCTTAACACCTGCTCAATCAAGGATGGTTCTGCCACATGGACTGTCAGGATTGGACCAAAACTTGCCTTCCATACTGAGCCATACTTCGCTTTACCTTGCAGCTGATGGGAAGGAGAGTAAAATATTTAGAAGATGAGAAAAACAAGATCGACAAGAGCAATAAAATAGAATAGAGATTATATTCTGCATAACAGGTGTAGCCAAAACCTAGATCCCTAGGCTTTGTATATGTGCAGTGCCTAGATGACCTGGCAACCTTAATTTTGGCAAATCATCACAGGAGATGTAGTTCTAAAGAACCTGTTGATCCGCCTTTGGCCACCCCTGTTGTATACGCTACAACAAAATATTAATCATTACGCAATGCAGCAAGCACAAATCGAACTTTTTCACCATTTTCAAACTGGGTTGGCTCCAGTGGCGTACTAAGGGGGGTGGTCAGCCTTGGATACCACCAGGTAGGGGGGTGCCACCAGGGCTGGCCAGGCTTGGAGCTCTGTGAGCTTTGTGGCTGCACCGGGCGCCAGAGCAGCAGGGGCGCCGGGCAGCCAGCTCACACACGCAGGGGCTGGGAGCAGGAGCAGGAGACCTGGCTGAATGGAGAGTTAGGTGCGGAGCCAGATCGAATGTGGGGGCGGTCCAAGCCGGATGCAGGGGCGGGGCTAAATGCAGCCTCTTACTGATCACACAGAGGGGGAAGCAGGAAGGAGTCCCTGCTTCCCCAACTACAGCACAGCAGGGACTGAATCCACTCCTCCTCTAGCCCAAGCTTACTGTAAGTGAGAGAGAGTGTGTGTGTTGTGTGTTACTGTGATTGTGACTGTCTTTGACTGTGTCTGTGTGTATGTGTGACTGTCTGCCTGTGATTGTGTTTGTGTAGATCTGTGCCAAAAATAGGACCAGCCCCAAGTGCCAAATGCTCTAGGTACGCCCCTGGTTGGCTCAAAATCAGCCCTACTGAGGGCATTTTAATGAACTTTTTGCTGGTCGTGGAACTTTGAAATAGCATTACAGAAAAGGTGCTATGAGCTAGAACAGTAGGGCAATTCAAGGTGTATGGAAGGGTGATGAATGGGAACTTAAAGGAGTATCATACATAGTAAAGAGTAAGTAAGAGTAAATAAACCCTATGCTTTCTATCTGTTAAACCGTCCTTTATCTTCAGAAGTGATAAAGCTACCTAGCTACCTAACTCATAAAATAGAATCAATGATGGATAAACATGTGTAAGAGTTGCAAGTTATATGCAAGATTGTAATAACAGATATATATTTAATCCTTTCAGTTGAAAGCTAATTTCCCCATGTGAGGCTATAAATATTTGGATGTGAAAATCACTGATAAACTCGTCTCCATGCGTCTTCCAGCCCCGTGCGACAAAAATACATTTAATGATATAAACACTTTCAAAAGAAGGAAGAACTGTCACAAATCCCAGACTAATTACATTACAATTTCTCTACAAAATACCAATGAATATACATGTGATAATTTCTCACAGTTACATGCTGTTTCTTTCCACTTTAGCACCAACAGCAAACGAAAGAAAACTACAATGAAAAATTAATTTCCTGAGCTGTGAAAGATCTGGATAGTGCTGTTTTTTACATTTAGTGGGTGTTATGAAAGCTTTCTAGGAATAATCGAAGATGGCTTCTTTTTTTTTTAACAATGTAAGATAAGACTTGCTTCGGCAGCATCTATGCCTGTCTTCTATCAAATGACAGCTTATCAATTGCTGATTTCCAATATTTACATTACTAACTGAATACTTTTTCCAACAGCTGATCCGTTGCATCAGAAAGGAGAATGGATAGACAGTGCCAGCAGAGAGACACATTCATTGTGCAGTAACTGATCGCCTGCTATGGAATGTGACACAACGACCTGTTGGGCTATCAATGGCATTAAGGCTCCAGTAGCATTCTCATAATATGCATCTGGAGCTGGCTAAGAATTGTAGAAATCTAAATAATAATAATAATAATAATAAGTAGATTCATATGATATTTTTTTAAATGGTTTTTTTTAACAATATTGAATTGTTTCCGGGAAAAAAAAAAGACAACTGAGTAATTTTAAGGCCAAAACAGCCAAGTTGAAACATAGCTCAGTTTGAAAATGTATCTAATTTAGCTATGTTCACCTGTTCAAAAAATTCACTACAGTTTTCACACAGTTTAGTAAAAAAAAAAAAAAAAATCTGAATATTTGCAAAGTAGTAAATTGGTTATATTGAAAAGGAAAGTTTGTAAGAGATTCTAGTGTGTGTTAAAGTGACATGTTCCTGAATTAAAAACAGGTGAGCTAAACAACACAGATAATCCATACAGATAATCCAGTCACTGTAAATACAATGATTTTCTAACCATGCCATTGTAATTGAATGCAACCTATAAGGACTTGCTGAGTTTCCCTTATCTGTCAATTCTCCCAATCTTTACTTGCTGATTCCTCAATGTATATGACATAGTCAGACAGATGACATATCAGTCTCCCATGCGCCCCAGAGGAAGCCTTGTCCACTCATATTGGTGCTGAAAGGATTAGCACATTGTGGTTACACTACACGTCAGAGGAGCTGCTCCCAAACATCTCAAATAGCGTTCATTCATTAAAATACGGATGTTAGTAAGAAAGGCGGTTATATGAATCACACTGATTTACCAATACTGGGTCAAGTCTAACTTCGTGGGAAACGTGACTTAACACGATTATACGACATTGTATCGGTAAAATCCAGAGTGATGTCATATCACTGGTACACCAAACATCAGGTGTACGAATCACTGACAGTATGGAAGACTCAAGCAGTGAACAGTTCACACACAAAATTAAATGGGCAATAATTAATAACTCAGCCAGTTATAGAGATAATTATCCAAGTGAGGACTGATCTGCATATTTCATTTAAATGGAGAGCCTCTTTCACTCCAGTTAATGCAGACTACAACTCCCATCAGGCTCAAAAAGTCACAGCAAAAAACGGTGTATAAGGAAGACACCAAAAACAAAGCAACTCCCATCATGCTGGGCATACAAGGATCTTTCCATGATGCCTATGAATTATTTCAGTGGAAACTATTCTTTAGGTTTTAGATTTCAGCTGCATATTTATATTATGGCCATGTTATTAAAAAAAAGAAGAAGAAAAAGAATATATCAAGACTTGCAAAACTAAATTATGAACAATTCTAGTGTAATATTTTATACCATATCACATACAATATTTATTTTTGTTTTTCTGCAGGAAAGCTCCAATATTTGCGCTACATGTGTACCTGCAGTGCATATTTTAAATGAACACATTTCACTCTAGTAACTGGACCATGTTTTTTAAATGAGTATCCCTTACCTGCAGCTCGTGTAGACGGGACAGCCCCCCTTTTAAGAAGAGATCAGTGAAGAAGCCCACTGCAGATGGCCCTGGCATATCTGCCAAAGATTTGTTCCTACTGATGATTTTTTCCGACTTTTTAAAGAAAGTCTCTGCCCACTGCTCTGGGAAGCCTTTCAGGATGGGTGCACATCTGCTGGCCAGTTTAAGTGATTGTGCCATTGTGCCTTCAGGATAGTAAGGCAATTTTTTGTTGGTGGCACCTTCGCTTGTAGCATCTTCAACTATGCCAAGTCCTCTATTTATACAGAAACAGATAGAATCCCCACTCCAGGAGAATAGATACAGTATTCTATTAGGCCACGCCCCTCAGACAGTTTCATCATCTGTCAGTCAGTGAGTTATTAAGCGAGGCGTGGCATGTCGAAGAGGTATGCAATAGGAGAGGTACAGTCCTGGCCATTGAGAGGACAGGGGGCGTGGCCAAATTGTGCATGTGTGGGCTAATGCCAGCAGCATGCCATCCACGTGGGCTCCTGATGACAGGGGAGGGGGAGACGTGCTATGGGATCTCTCAGTTAAAATATTATCCAGTTTGTTTTTCTTTCTTTTTTTTAAACGAATACATTATTTTACAATTCATCCTAGTTTACACATTCATCCTCTCCATCCTCTCAGGTAGTGAGAAATAAAAGTAAGAATACAGGGCTGCAGTGGACCCATATTGTATAAGAAACTTTTAAGACCTTACCTAAGGTAGGAAAAAACTAGAACTGGCATATCTCAAAAACAGCACTATTTGGGCATAAGGCTGCAGGGGCAGACTCTCTGTAACAAAATCCCCCCATTAAGATTAAAGGGACACTGTTGGCACCCAGACCACTTCAGCTCATTGAAGTGGTCTGGGTGCAATGTCCCTTTACCCTTAACCCTACAGAGGTAAATATTGCAATAATAACCTCTGAGGGTTAATTTCTCCTTTAGTGGCTGTCTACCAGACAGCCACTAGAGTAACTTCCGGAATTGAAATGGACCTTTGGTCCATTTTCTGACGCTGGACGTCCTCATGCTATTCATGAGGACCTCCAGCGTCAGATATTTCCCATAGGAAAGCATTAAATAATGCTTTTCTATGGAAAAATCCTAATGTGAGTGCTGCCATTGCCGCGCATGCACATTAGGTCTCCCCTGCCGGCTGGGTCATGGGAAAAGCCTGATCCAGCACTGATGGACATCAGAGCTGCATTCAGGTAAGTGAACCCCACCATGGGATGGGGGGGCACAAAGCATGGGGGCACTCCAGGAGCCTAAAGTGCCAGGAAAAAAGGTTTGCTTTCCTGGTACTCTCAAGACTTATATCACCTTTCGCTCCCCCAACGTATTGTCCTTACTGTGGTAGGTGTTACACTTGTGTAACACCCACCTATGGTCCACCATGGCTCTTCCTGCTGTCTTCTTTGATTTGCCAAGCCTGAGGACCATTCATTAAGCAGGACAAAACTCCATGATGCCAACACGCCAGGGTGCCGGAGTCTGAACTTTCTACACTCCCTAGCCAGCATTGTGGCTGCTATGAACTGCCTATGATAGGTCTCTTCTGCTCTGTCTGTCAATCAATTCTTTGGCATAGACTCCATGCCAAAAACGTGATTGACAGCCAGGATAAAGACCTATTTTTAAACAAGGATTTTTTCCAATTTATACATTTGCTAGCAGACCCGCCAGCACAATGATTAGATAAAATTTGAAGCTTTTTAAAAAGAACTTGGAGTATGCCAGGTACCCTTTTTAGTAAATTTGTTGCTTAGTCAGTACCTTTAATTTTTCTAATACAAGAAAAAAAACTGCAGCACAAATAGAGCAGCATTTCACCTAAATGTGAGTGCCTAGAGGATGAGTGGCATATTGTATTATTCACAATTAAAATGGTAAAATATTGTTATCTAAATCAAAAAATTCAAATTGTGGTTCAATAAGGAAGAAAATAGCAAAGCAGTAGAATCTTCCACATTTGTCTCAATTTACAGGGTTAGTGATAAATTTCCACATGGTATCAAATGGAAACCGGCATATTGCAATATGTAGACTAAAGTAGCCAAGCTTTGACTGTAGTTTAAAAAAAATATAAAACCATCTATATAGATAATCTATAATCTATTTTTTTATTTGCTACAATTAGGAATTTAGTGAATTATCCTGCAAGTCAAAAACAATGTGAGTGTCCCCCAAATACATGAATTTGTATTTATATTGGAAATCTACCCAGACATTGAGAATGTAGATTTACAATAATGTTAGTGAAAATAGTGCAAATATATACTACTAGCTTTTGTCATAATTTCTGTTTACACAGAGCTTTCTTCTCTGGAGCTTATTGTACAGAAACATATTGTAGAAAAATAACAAGACATAAACCACAAAACTGAGACATGAAAGGGTGACATGTCTGCTAGGTCTATTCTATTTAATATACTCCATCATGCATGGATTATATGAATAATAAAGAGTAAATAAGCCCTACCTATAATTTATATATAATTGTTTATTTTAATAGATCCCCATACCCACACTCGTTCCCTCCAAGTGGGGTCTAATAAAATAAACGGGGGACCTAGTGTCCCACACCAGCCCCCACCAACTGGCAATGGGGAGGGGGGGGGGGCTAAAAATAATAACGGGAGAACACAATGTGCTTCCTAGACCCCAGCCATTAGCAGCAGGTGGGGGTCCTAAATAGGGTGGATGGATCTATTGTCCCCCAACAGCCCTCTACCATTAGTGATGGGTGGGAGACCTAAATCAAAAAGTGGAGGTGGAAAAAGTAAGAGCCCTAAATAACACAATACAAAGAAAACAATACACATGAATGGGGAATTCCTTTTCCCCAACGCAGGTCCAGGCACCGGGTAGAAAGATTTGTTAAGCAGCAGGGATGACATAAGGCCAGGCCAGGGAGCATGTGATTTGACCTTTATAAGGTGCACAGTAATCGCTCCCTCTCAGTCCTGCACTCACTAATGAGCTCTGGACCACAATTAATGTGCTTTGCACTCGAAGGAGCTGCAAACCACAGACTCCCACATAAAGGTACCCAGGCTGCTCTTTCTTCTGCTCGGCTGTCCACCTTCTCTTCCTGTCAGCTTGGGTGCATCAGGATCATCAGCCTCATTCCAATTTGCTCACTGTTGAACTTCCTGGCCCTAGTACTCACTCCCTCACACAGTCCTACTGCTCACAAAGCCCTCCTGCCTTAATATTATAACTCCTGCTAGACCATCAGGTAATTTTTAACCCCCTATTGGACCACCGTTTATCTTAATGACCTCCACTCGTGGGTCACCAGTGGACACTATGTCCATCCCTCGCTGCACAGCTGGTAGAGGCAGGAGGGAGGATTTAACCTCCCTGTGACAGGAGTCACCATCACTGGGAGCAGAAGGACACTTTACAATGCTCCCAGTGATGGTGAATACAGTCACACTCCCTTATACTAATATCAAATGTGTGAGACTACAAAACAAGTGTTTATGGAAGATCTCACAAGACAACTGATGTCTTCATTATTTTTTCAGAATGTGTGCATTATTTGGGAACTAATTTATTGTGTGTTGTGTTGTAGATGCTTATGTTATCATGGAATGGCTTTTTCATACACCTTTGTCTTTGAGAACCTGTGCAATATTTTATCTAGTTTTATTATTTACTATAACTTCTCGATGAGAAACAAATAATCATAACACAAGTAATATGTAGTTTATAAGGTATTGTTAATGAAAGCCCACACACAGGAAATGTTCAAAGCATCCCCAATGGAACCTGATAGACTACAGTTATCTTAGGTGTTAAATATCCGAAACATGAATGTTGGAGAGCCAAAGGGAGGTACAGAGGTATTGAACAAGAGACATGGAATTAGTCACACTGACAAGACTCAAGTCTAGGTTCATGGTCTAAATAACAGTTCAAGGGTCAGGTCAAGCAGTAGAGGTAGCTGTGAGTGAGGAATCTGAGAATCTAACAGAGAATCCAGTGGAAACTAGATAAATTACAATACAAACTGAGCAATGATTGTCTGGAATTGCTGTCTTTCATTGTCTGTCACACCATACCTATACACTATTAAAACTCCAAACTCACTGTTCTGTTTGCTATAATTATCCAGCGTTTCTACCATTAAACAGTCATTATTTTAATATGTAGTCTGATTATGTAACTCTAAAGATATTCTAGTTAAGGTTTTTTTCAAGTAATATATAAAAAGACATCAGCTCCTCCCTTCAGTAAAAGACAAATATTATCTTCTAAGAGTCTTATTAAAATAATTATTTTTTAATAAGAGTGAGTCTTATTAAAAGAATTCTTATCCGACATATCTCCCAAATTGGTAAATATGAATCAAAAATATCCCGAGTACCACCTCATAAAAGTTGGAGACATGATGTATGGGAAAACTGGGTGCTGAAACACCCGACTTGAACAAGTCGAAAGCACCTCACTAGACACAGGAATGGCAACGGGAGACCACACCAAGACTAGCCGACCAATACGGGGCCCGCACACAGAAAGAGGGTACTCACTGGATCATGTACCTAGGGTATGGTACTAGCGCCAAGTGTTTCACAACCTCCTTTCAACAAACTTGCTGGATGTATAACCTCCTGCCCCCCATCTCTCACTGCTGCTTCTCCCCTTGGGTATCTCCTTCCACCTTCCCGTACCGCAATAAGAATATCCTAACCTAGAATGACCCTCACACAGCACAACATACCTAGAGAGGTACCGACTCATAACATAATTCCTTTCATATGTATAAAACTAATGCATGATACGATGTTAACAGATCATGTGTGTTCCATGTATGTGAACTTACACTGTTTTACCCCCCCCCCTTTTCCTTCCTTTACCCCTCACTTGCATTTTATGACGAAAATAAAAATTGTCAAATAAAAAAAAAAAAAAAAAGAATTCTTTCCATTGCTTTCAGTTTCAGGATTATTGTATTGTTAGTATAACTTTATATCTTTATCACTATGCACAGTGTTAAATAAAATGTGAGTTCTTTGGCAGATGGAAGTACTGAGACATTTTCATCCAATCGTGTCATTCAAATTGCCCGCAGCAGATTAGAATTGGTAGTTCCACCCTAAGACTGCTAATCTTTTCTTGTAGCAGGTTTTGGTATTAAATAATAGCATTACCATTTTACTCAAACATGATGCTTTAACGTTGTTGTGTATTACAAGAAGAAAGCATTAGAAAGGGATGAAAGTTTGTAGTAAAATAAAA